CTCACAAATGCCAAGTGCATTCCCAAATCAGGGCCATCATAGACGCTATGATATGCTGGCTTCATTTAGATCTCTTACTCAAATTTCACTTTTTCAGAGTGCCTTCCCTGAACACACTATCTAAAACAGTGACACATACATGACTTTCACTCTCTTTTTTTTAACATTTATTTTTGAGAGACAGAGAGAGACTGAGTGTGAACAGGGAAGGGGCAGAGAGAGAGAGGGAGACACAAAATCCGAAGTAGACTCCAGGTTCTGAGCTGTCAGCAAAGAGCCCAACGCAGGGCTTGAACCCACAAACCACAAGATGATGACCTAAGCCCAAGTCAGACACTTGACTGACTTAGCCACCCAGGCACCCCAACTGTCACTCTTTTTTTTATTAAGTTTATTTTGAAGGAGTGAGTGCAGGGGAGGGGCAGAGAGAGAGGGAGAGAGAGAATCCCAAACAGTTTCTATTGTGTCAGCATGGAGCCTGATGTGGAGCTTGAGCTCATGAACCATGACATCATGAACTGAGCTGAAACCAAGAGTCAGACACTTAACCAACTGAGCCACCCAGGCAGCCCTGACTGTCACTCTTTATCCCTGTACCCAGTTTTATTTTTCTACATGTACTTACTTACCATTTAACTGAAATCTCACTTTTTTTTTAACTTTAGTTTTATGGAAATATAATTAGTATAAAATAAACTATATATATTTAAAGTATACTTTTTTAATGTTTATTTATGTTTTGAGAGACAGAGAATGTGAGCAGGGGAGGAGCAGAGAGAGAGGGAGACAGAGGACATGAAGTGAGCTCTGTGCTGACAGTGCAGAGCCCGACATGGGGCTCAAACTCACAAACCATGAGATCATGACCTGAGCTGAAGTCAGACATTTAACCAACTGAGCCACCCAGGAGCCCCTAAAGTATACAATTTGATAAGTTTTGGCCTATGTATACACCCATGAAACCATTACCACAACCAAGATATTGAATATATCCCAATTCCCAAAAGTTTATCAATTTGACTGTTCATCCCAAAGAACCAACTTTGTTTCAGTGATTTTCAATATTGTTTTCCTGTTTCATTTGTTTTCACTTAGATCTTATTTCTTTTATTCTGCTTACTTTGAGGTTAATTTATCTTCTTTTCCTAATTTATTTTTTTAAAGAACAAGGCAATTTTATTTTTTTATTTTAATGTCATTTTTAAAATTTATATCCAAATTAGTTAGCATATAATGTAACAATGATTTCAGGAGTAGACTCCTTAATGCCCCTTACCCATTTAGTCCATCCCCCCTCCCACACCCCCTCCAGTAACCCTGTTTGTTCTCCATATTTATGAGTCTCTTATGTTTTGTCCCCCTCCCTGTTTTTATATTATTTTTGCTTCCCTTCCCTTGTGTTCATCTGTTCTGTATCTTAAAGTCATCATATGTGAAGTCATATGATATTTGTCTTTCTCTGACTAATTTCACTTAGCATAATACCCTTTAGTTCCATCCACGCAGTTGTAAATGGCAAGATTTCATTCTGTTTGATTGCTGAGTAATACTCCATTGTATATATACACCACATCTTCTTTATCCATTCATCCATCGATGGA